TGTTTCTTTCGCAATGTATATCTATCATTATACAAATAAATAAAGAAATGATGTTTACCTACAAAAAAAAAAAAAAATATATATATATATAATTAATTTTTAAAAGAAATAAATTATTTAAAGTTTTTTAAATTTGAAATTTTTTAAAAATAAAAAGATTGATATTAAAAAAATTATTATTTGAAATAATTATATTATTCTTTATATAAAATATTAAATAATAAATAAATAAAATTACTTAAGATTTTTTTCAGTTAATATACTATATATTATTTTCTTTGTTTATAATATTAATTTGATTTTAGAATAGATATTAAATATAGTTAAGATTATTACTTATAGCTTTTTTAATAATTAATTTTTAATAATAAGTTTTAATTTGTTATTGCTTTAATATTTAAAGAATTTATTTTTATATTTAAAAGTTATTATAATAATATAAAAAATTTTAAAATATTAAATTCCATATAAATAATTGAAATATTTGCTTAAATTTGAACTAAAGTTTTTTATATTGATATAATTTAGTATTTGAAAAAATTAATAAATGGAAAAATAAAAAAATTTTTTTCTAAAATAAAAATTAAATGTTGTATAAATATATTTATATAGATTATTATAAATAAAAGTTATTTTGAATTAATAAAAATAATATTAAAAAGTATATAAAATATATTAGATTTAATAGTTTGATTTTGAAAAAAAAAATTCTTAAGGTTACTTAATTTGTTTCTTTTCAAAATTTTTATTAAATATTAAAAAAATTTTTTTAAAAAAATTTGAAATATATAAATAATAAAATAAACAATTAAACAATTATAAAAACTTTAATTGAAAAATTTTTTAAAAAGTAATCAAAATAACAAAAGTTTTAATAATTTTAATAAAACAAATAAAATAAAAATTTTTGAATAAAGATAATATATAATAAAGTTTTAATTATAAACAATATAAATAAATAATTTTAATAAATATAAAAACTTAATAAATTATTTTTATTATAAGAAAAAAATTTTTAAAAATTTATTTTATATTTCAATATTATAAAAATTTAAAAAAAAACTATTTAAAAGAACAAAATATAAGATATTATATATAAACTAATATTTAAAAATTTTTATAAAAATAATTATTAATATTTGTTTAAAACTTTATCAAAAAAATATATTGTAAAATAAAAAAAAAAAACTTTCTTCTGATTACTTTTTATTACAAGTAAATTACAGTTTAAAAACTTAATAATCTTTAAGATAATTAATATAGTAAAATAAAACCTTTGATCAAAATCTATTTAAGTTTGAAAATCTTGCTTATCTTTAATTATATTATAAAAGACCTATAGTAAGGGATTTTTTTTTTGTTTTTTTGTATTCTTCTTTACTTTTATTACATTATAAAAATTATTTACATTAATATTATTATATTTGTTAAATTAAATATTTTTCAAAAATTATATTTAAACAAAGTTATTAAGTTAAATCTATTATTTGTTTTAATATAATCTTTATATATAATCTTATTATTATAATATTTGTTATGCCATTTCAATATTTCCAAATTTTTTTTTTCAAAATATCAAAATTAGTTTACTTTCTTTAAGTAATTATCACTTTTTAATTATTTAATCAGATTTTATCAAAAAATCAAAACAAAAATCAAACCTGTTCAAATTGATTTTTTAATATAATAATATATAATAATAATAACAATTATCATCACAATCAACTAAAGCTCCTAATAATATTATTTTGATACTATTTTGATATTAGTTTAATACTTAAATTATTATAAAATCATATAAGTAAATCATAACCTATATATTAAATTTATTATAGATCAGTACTATTTTGATATTAGTTTGATATTAGTTTGATACTTTTTGAAGTTCTACAATCAACAATTCAAATAATCATAACTTTAATAATAAATAATAATAACTATATTTTATTATTTGTATTAATGAAAGACATATCTATAAGAAAAAAGATTCAAAGATACTTTATTTATTGGCTATTTTTTCATAAAATAATCCAAAGATACAATATATATTGATTATTTTATTTTGTAAGGATTCAAAGATATTTTATTTGCTAATTATTTTTTTTAAAAAAAATCTAAAAATATTTTATTTGTTGACTGTTTTTTTGAGAATATATAATTTTATTTCTACAAATTTTATAGTTTATTTGATTTTGTTTTAGTTTTAACTTCAGTTATTTCAATTGTTTCTCTTTCAATTATAGTTTTAATATTAATTCAATTAATCTATATTCAAAAAATCAAAAATTTTTATAAAACATTTTAAGTTGATAAGCATAACTATTACTCTTTTATCTAATATATTAATATTGCTTTTGAAATTTTTTTCAATATTAGTTAGATATTGTTAAAGTAGGTAAGCTAATATTTAACTTTCTAAAATACTGAAAAAGATATTGTTTCTTTTATAATATATATCTTGTTATATACAAATCAAATAAAAAAATAATGTTTACCTATTGGAAAAACCTCTTCAAAAAAAGATAAAACTAAGTATTTGCTAAATTATTAAAATCTATTTATAAAGTATAAAAGAAATGACAATACTAAGTTAAAGAAAAAAAATTAAGAAAAAACAAAAACCATAAATTCAATGTAACTTTAGAAAAACAGTATAAGGCAATAAAATAGTTTATAAAATGATATTTTATTAAAATTTCATACTAAAGTTTTCGACACGTGGTAAATTAAGATATAACTGAAAAAATAATTTTCAGATTTTATGCTTGATGAGAATCGCGAAAAAAAAGCAAAATGGAAGTCGACGAGCAAGGCGTTGCCTTTTCCCTTAACAGTATCCTCTATTATTTGTTTTGTACTTTCGATACTCCTTAAGATTCCTTAGCACTTAGTAACATTTAGTCTTGGCATTGACCAATGAAGCACGCAACACCTATGGTCTTCGACATCAAGATTATGCACGATATAGGTAAGCAAATTCTTAATTTGATAAAAAATTGATAAATGGTAATATTGATCAAAGCAATTAATAAAATTTTACAGGCAATACTGCGCCAAAAAAATACATCGTCTTCGCGTTTCTCTAAAATTCACTCATGGCAAAGGCAGGTTTACGAAACCTCAAGAAATAACTGATTCAATTCTAAATGATATAAGGTAACCGATGAGTATAAGAAATGAAGGTATATATTAAATTTATCTAAAATTGTAAGTATTTATTCAGATATTTGCACATTGCGTTATTTGATACCGAACGAGCATGGAGTCATGCTATGGAATTAAAAAGAGAGTCTAGAGCAAGTGGTGACACGCGTAAAAAACACCATCTGATCAAAAAATTAAAAAAGGCGGCGAAGTTGGGTAATCAATTGGAACAATTATGCTCGCGAGAGACCGGTAAAGTAGATACCAGAACAGTTCTCGAGGCCCAGGTAATATTATCAAGGCATTGATCTCTAAATAATTTCAAGAACCGATGTTAATACTTACAATTGTTCTCGAAGGCATATTCTTCATTAATATCTGGTTATCTGTTATTCGAAAAACAAAGCTGGCAAAATGCACTAGATAGATTTGCTGCAGCAAGGTATTTATCATATTGTGTTATGAATTTACATATATTGAATTAATCATTTTCTGCATATTCATTTAATTACCAGGACCATATACGAAAAGTTGTCTGCTGCAGGGACATCCCATCAAGAAACACTTTGCCAATCTGCAATTGACGAATTAGATCCTAATATTCGTTATTGTGCGTATGTGCTGCGTTTAGGTTCAGATAGTGCTTCAAATGTAGAGGATCTTGTTAAAATGACTATTGGAAAAAGCAAGGGAGTTGGTTTGGACTTATTAGAAGCGGAAGTTGAGGTATAAACTTATTACTTTATAAACTGATTTTCATAGTTGAATTGCTAAACTTCATTATTTATGCTCATCCCATAGTCCGTCCTTGCTCAAACACGCCAAGAAAAGGCTGCATCGTTAACTTCCATTTCCTGGCGTGATCGTACGGTCCCACTGAGAAATGCAGACCTTGCGGTTTGCATTTTGAAAGCTCGCGAAGCTACAACGGATTTAGAAAATGCATCAGATGCAGATGCAGAAGCGACCAAGATGGAAATGTTTGATAAATTGCTTGAGGCTTATGGAGATGCAGAAAGATTTGCCAAAAATGCTGTAAAAGAGGATGCGGTAAATGCTATTCATATAAACTGACTCATTACGTTACTGTGTTATTTACATAATATATTTTTTTTCTTAGGATGCTACTGCGAAAGTTAAATCCTCTAAATCAGAACAAATATCAGCGGATCTTAATTT